TTCTCCCTCCACCTATAGGTAAATAGCAGGACAGACTGGGTTCTATAGCCTTGGATGGCAACTGATCTAGGAGTAGGACAACTGTGAATTCAAAACCTGCGGAGGGTCGTTCGGGGACCTTGTGGCACATAGTGCACCAGGTCTCTGTATATTCAACCCTTCAAAAAGTGTGGTGGGTTCTGTACAAAACCTTCACCACTATAATAAAATTTTGTTCTGGTGTCAGTATCCTTGGAATTGATCTGCTTGACCCTCATACATCAAATTCGATGGGAGAGTCAAATATATATATATATATATATATATATATATATATATATATATATACACACACACACACACTGGGAAAATTACAACTTTTATGTAAAATGTAATAAAATCTTATGTAGATCTTAACAATTTCAATAAAACATGTTTCATTTTATATATATATATATATATATACACACACACACACATATATAAGTGGACACTGTGATCAACACTGAGAGGCAGCAGTTTCATGCTTGAATACAATCTTCAGATTACAGGGTGTGGAAGAATCAGAAAACAGAAACCCCACAAAGGAGCAAATGCAGAAGAATAATCAGGAGGATAGCAATTGACATTGCATTTAAAATTTTTGAAGATCAAAGTTGATTGGAAAAACAAGAAGCTGGAAGAGAGTTTCACTGTGAGAAGTGTGAAAAAGAAACTTATGATTTATATGTGCCCCCCCCTTAGCAGAGAGAGATACCATTAGATATAGCATACTCTGAGCTACAGAGAACCAGTTTGGATATGAAACTGTGCAGATATGAAAAATTTTGAGAGATTAATGACAAGAGAAGTTTTGCATAAAGATATATATATATATATATATATATATATATAATATAGAGAGAGAGTCAGTAAGAGCAAAATGCTGTGATGATGATCTGGATTTTAAGAGCCCTCACTGATAGTTGATTACATATTGTTTTGCTACTGAAAATAAATTAATACAGAAATTAAAAAAAGAAAAAGAATCTGTAATGCCTAGGAAAGAATATCTGTTTCTATGGCAACATCATCGTGGACAGTATGTGGAAAAGGGGGTGAAGGTCAGGAGAACTGTGATCTTTGGCCAAAGTGCTGGATCATCTATCCTCTTATCTGTTAATCACTTTCCAAATGTCAGTTGTTTGGTCAGTCTCCTATTAGGTTTATGAACAGCTGACCTTTGTCCAGTTACTGCCTCACCAGACATTTGTCTCTTCTCTAGCCTGACTCCATATTTGATTGTTCACATTTACCAGATGTCCATTCATTCTGGAATTGGCAAAACAACCATGCCACACCCACATTAGTAGCAACCTTGACAGATTATACTGTAAATATACAGTTTCTATACATGTTCTCAGGGTCATTCATGGCTCATGCAAAAAACAGGATGTTTTTTAAAAGTGCCTGTTTACCAGAAAAGAAATGTTAGGGTACCAAGCTGAAATTTATGGTTAGCACCCTATTCTGATAGTGGATGAGCTAGTATAATGTGCTTGAGCCTCATTAGGTGCTTGTTTATTGTAAACTTGTGTTTGACTAAGATTGGTAGATATCTGTATCAGTTGAATGCCTAAGTAAACTTTCTTGCTCTTACAGCTTGAAGAAATGTGGGGTTTGGAATAAGTGAGGTGGGGAGTTCTTTTTTTCTTTTTCTTTTTTTCTTTACAGTAAGGTTCACCCTGTACAAGGCCTGATAGTGGGGAACTTGAGATAGAGAGTCATGTTAAGGAGTAGTTAATATGGATAGGAGGGGAAGATAACTGTTTAGACTTAAACAGATTAAGATTGTAATGATTAGGGAAAACATCCTCTTGGGAGTCTGTTCCACAGGGAAGTAATGTTGAATTCAGACTGAAACTGCTTATGTTCTCCAAATACCCTTAGTAAAGGCATGAATCCATTTCTCCCTGCCATCTCTTCCATCACCAGATTTCTCAATGCAATGTCTTGTCACTTGTATAATGCAGTGGTACTTGAATTCACAAGTAGATTTGTTAGCATTTGGGTAAATGACTCTTCGTTAATTAATTTGACTATCTAGTCAAAAGCAACTAATAATAATATTCACTAAGAAATGAAATATCATTTTATCAACCTGTAATTTTTGTTGAATTATCAATATCATCTGGTTTACACTCCTCCCCAATCTTTTGAACAGGAGTAGAGGTTCATCCCTTGTTTCCAGTTCCTTCTAAGGTCTGCTTTAGTTCTGAAAAGAAAAGCTCTGTGCTCATAATGCTTATTCTTCCCTATGCTAATATAAGTCCGCACTGTAACCCTCTACCTTGTGTGGATCTTGGGCCTTGTATTGAGTGAACATGAATGAGTAAAAAAAAACAAAAAAAGAAATTGTTTTTCTTGGTACTAGTACAACACAAGGCCACAATAGTGGAGCACATTTGAAGAGTAAACTGCACAAGATAAAAAGGTCTGCCTGATCTAACTTATTGACTAATGACCTCAACCAGACATCTAATCAAAAAATTTTGTTACTAGGTCAAATTCAAATACTTTAAAACAAAAATCAAACAAATTGGGGATATAAACTTTTTTCAGTGATACAGGTATCATTCATTCATGATTTGGGTGTAAATAACTAAGAATTCAGGAGGTTTTCAATTCACCAATGTCCATCGGGGGTTGCATCATTTCCTGGGGTATTTGCCTGCAAATAAATCCAGAACAAGCCAAAACAGTATTGTGTACTGTTTTCTGAAAGAAAATATGTGTAAAAGTAATTTAGTGTAAGGAAAACACAACTCATTCATCTATATAATGCATCATGGACTATCATGCAGTTAGTAGTCCTGGGTATGACGATAAACTACATCCGGCAGCATGGCTTCTGATGGGGATATTTCATGGGAGCATGGAACCACCTCTTAATTTCTGTTGTTCTCAGATTCTCCCTGACCCTGTTAGGATCTCAGCTATGGGCAAAATGAACACCCAAACAAAAAAAAAAAAACACTATAAAAGCATAAAAATACATTTTTATAGTAAAAATATAAGCAATACATTCTTATATAAAAAAAAAAAAAAATATCAACAAATTGTAGCAACTTCACCCAAATCCATTTAAAATATTCCCAAACAACCAACATGAAAATTTTCTTCATGACACTAATCCACATAATATCCTACAATTTCTTAAATCAAACTGTATTCCAAAATATAACTACAACATAAAACACACATATCACTGCCTGTAGTAATTATGTCCAAGCAATGTATATGTGCAAAAGCTGAGTATCATCTACCATGTATTCAATTGTGAAAGCAGAATAATATAAATTGTATTTTTATTACTTCCAAACTCCCAAGAAAAGTAAATTTAAGCATTAAATGACCCATAATGAATTGACATGCTGTTAAAAAAATATTAAATTTTAATAAACTAATATTTGTTTTACTTCATGTTTTTATTTTTATCATCTAAAAGAGTTAAAATATCATTTTGAGAGTTATCAGAAATGTTGTGTTTAAATAAATATAAAAAACTATCCTTTAAAAAAAACTTATTTTTCTAATTTTACATTTAAAACTTGGTTGGGTTTAGTGCATATTTTTTATGCACTCTTGTTGCAATTGCACAGTTGTGTAGCACTCATGTGCAGTATATATTTGTACATTGCTTATCCTTCCTAACTTGACATCATGTCTTTCCCTTTAAAAAAAAAAAAAAAAAAAAAAGTTTTTTGTGGGGGTGGGGGGTTATTGATCTGATACTGTGAGTTCATTTTAGTTTGTCTGTCCTTCCTGGAGTGAAGACACTTTGGCTGGCTCAGCAATATTTCAAAGCTCTTGGGGAAAGCCAATCTTCTGTTTTCAGCTTTGGTCTCCCATTCTTGATGGCACCATCTTCAGACTGTCTCTGAGGACCAAAGAGCAATGCATTATAATTTGGTCAACTTAGCATATTTCTTTTACACAGGTTTTATCAAAAATGTATTACTGTGATTTTTTTTTTTTTTTATGTTTGGAAGATTTTTAATGGTTCTGAAGTCTAAACTGCATATTTATGCATCAGTCTACTTTAAAGCCATATCAGATTGAAACACCAGTTCTTGTCTGATCATCAAATTTAAGCAACATCAATTCTGGTTAACAGGCCATTAAACAAACAAATCAGTTAATTAGGAAAGGTATGAATCAACCTCTTGCCCCCCCCCCCAGATACTGGTTAAATAGTTGGACTTGTATCTGGAAAAATGATTGTTAGAAGTTCAATTTTTTTGGCAACTCTTTCAAGGTGCCCAATATTAACATGGAAAAATAAGGCTCACTGAACCACATGTCAATGCCAAATGAACTCTAGAGATTTATGTGAGTGTATGTTCTGCTTTTAGAGAGTGCCCTATGATGGGAACAAGACATATCAATAACTTTGCAAAGATTGCATATATGTGCACATGTATTTAGATTTAAGATGTTGCACAAAATGTGCAAATGAACATTGAGCACTTTGGTTACTACAACACAACACAAATCAATAACACTGAACAGAAAATTTAAAATTCTGAGAATCTGACATGTTTAAATGTGAGTAAATGTTTGTAAAGAAAATGCTCAATAAGAAAACAAGAACTTCTTATTTTCTACTCCTCAGCCTCCTTTCCCCACAGATGCAATGTTGCAAGCCAATTACCACACTTTTGCTATTTCCATGGCAAATGTTCACATGAGTTCCAATCTTTAGTTTCACAAATTCAGGACTTTATAACTAGGCCATGCCATGATTTGTTCATGAATTCAAATCACCCTCATTTCCTCCATATTCTTTTTGTAAGGAGGAAGTTCCACTCAGTTTTTTCCTTGAAATCACTGTTTTAGAACAAACTCCTGCATGTATGCTTCCCAGATCACTATGACCTTAACCTCTTCAAGTCGAGGGTCAGTTGCTATTTATGCTCTTTTTTTTTTCTCCTCACTACTACCATTCTTACATTCATATCACACAGCTCATACAACATCACATTGAAACACCGGTTCCCATACCAAAGTTAAGCAACATCGAGCCTGTTTAGTATTTAGATGGGTGACTGCTTGGGAAAACCTGGTGCTCTAAGCTTGGATGTGTGGATGGTGTAATGTATAATGGCTTGGAATTGTTAATCAGAGAGCCAAGTTCCAATTCCTGTTAGGTTCCTTATATTCACTTACACACAAATAACTTTGGGAAAGGTATGAATCCACCTCTTCTCCCAACAGCTATGGGTTAATTAGTAAGACTTATCACTCAACTATTTTCTGGATTTAAATAACTTGCAAAGGGTTGATAAGCCATAGAAAACAAATCAATCAATCAAATACTGATTAGCTGCACAGACATGTCTTTTAGGAAAGTAAATTTATAGAAACTACCATGACTACAAAATGAGGGATCAGTTTATATATTGATTATAATATAGAATTAATCCAACACTTTATATCCACATCATAATTTCTTGTTTGTTTATCAGATTCTGAATAGGTATGAATCCATCTCTTCTCCCCGCAAGCTATGGATTAATTAGTAAGATTTGTATCACTAAACCATTTCATCAGTAAAAAAAAAAAAAATTCTTATAATCTAAAAATATTTTCTAGCATGAAATAACTGGCAATGGGTTGATAAGCCATAAAAAATTAATCATTCAGTACCCATCTACTATGAGTAACTTTTGAGCTTTGTATTAGGTGAATTTTAGCATTCTAAAAAAAAAATGCAACAGTAGTTAAGAGATTAAAAAAAAAAGGTCAATGGATTTATCTTCACGAGTGACTTAGTTTTGCATACAATCCACTCATCAAGGTCAGATAAATAAATTTATCTGGCCCTGATGTGTAGTTTATATGCAAGTTGGTTACCTAAACTTCTTTTTAATCTGTTATCTAAATATAACTATATTTTGTTATATTCTCATTTATCAATCAGCAATCATCAAGTGATGCAGCAAGGATACATTTACCATTATTGCAACAGAGAACAAGCATGGTATTTATCCTTAGATGGAGATTAAAGAAAGGCAAATAGAAAAGCTTTAATGGCATCCACTCCAAATTTTCCACAGAATTCTTCATTTTTCACTTACTACTAATGGGAATGCTTGTCTTTGTTAAGTGGGGGTTCAACCCTGTATATATTTCTTTATTCACTCCAGGTTTGGATTTCTTCACAGGAACTTGCTCCTGTATCGACATGCTGTCATAGGTTCCTGCCCTGTCATTTATTCAATGTTCCGCTCTTTGCAGGATCATTAACTTTTCAGTTAGACACAGGTCATGTATAACTAAAATGGCTGGTTACTCATGTCCAAGCACATCAGTTATAGTAACAAGCCAATCCTTGTTTCAGATTCCTGCTCAGGCACATTTGTTCAACATCCATAACATCCACTTGTAATTTATACTGCAATTATGCTGGGTGGACTTTAGTTATAATTTCTGGGAGATAGTATATAAACTCGCATGATCTGAAATCTAAACATTGCTAGTATACTCAAACTCTCGGTCACAATGACTTATGACATTGTGCTAATAATCATCAATTTCCATACAGTTCTGTCTAGCCAATTTCACTTGCAGTTTAGTTTTCAGTCAATTTCCAATGATGCTATATTCTGGGACCACTTTGCTAGTTCCCTGCAGAATTGAGAGATGTGAACCAGGGTCAGTGTCATAATCAGTTGGCGACATGCCCAAATAAATAAATATATATATATATATGTGTGTGTGTGTGTACACAAGAGCTATCCCAAAATTCAAGGATTGTTTAGTCTGTTCTTATGTAAAATTTCCCATGACTTGCCAGAAATTTCACATATCTCTTGAAATCAATTTACTTTGAAATAACCTCATTTTTGTAATTCTCCACCTCCCTTTTCTATGAGGAAACTATTTAGGGCCTTCAGTTGTCCCCAGATTTTTGGTGGCATTCACACACACACACACACACACACACACACACAAGAAAGGAAGTTGAAAAGTTCTCTGCCTGACCTACTTTATCCCATTAATGCTTCCCCCACCCCAGGTTTTGGGCATGGTGGTCATTAATGGGTTATAGATAGAAACCTGTAATTAATACTGGATTTTTATAAACCTATAATTAATAAAGGATGTTTCATAAAACTATAATTAGTGCCAGATATATAAGTCAGTCAGTTATGTGCCATGTGTGATACATGCTTAGGTGATGATGTATCTTTCGATACATGACTGATGAGACAGATTTTTTCCCCACAGTGGGTTGCCATTTCTTTCTGCAGTAGACCAGTTGCCATCCATGGCTATAGCACTTGGTTTGTCCTGTTATTTATTTATCCATAGCTAAGGGATGAAGATGATTCATAAGTTTCCCAAGAGTATTAGCATGTAAGTGAATATAATGACTCTGAATGGAATTTGAACTCAACTCTCCAATTTCTTAATCTGATCCTCTATCCATTACTCCACCGTGTCTCCTCTGCCAGATATATAAACAAAGACAAAAGGCGAACTTCTTAGTTGCTGCTGTTAGTATTTCAAAATTTTTAAATTTAAGAGCAGCTCATAAATATTCATCAGCCTTTCAGTTCAGAAAGAGTTTATATATATATATATATATATATATATATATATATATATATATATATATATATATATATAAAATCATTTGATATATAAAGCAAATGAATCCTTTTAATATCATATAAAATATCAAATCTGATTAATGGAGAGAGTTCAATGTTTTATTCAAACAGAGCCCAACTTTTAAAATTGGTTTTAAGCCAGTTTCATTTTGTTTTTTTAGCCTGATGGGTTTGAAAATCCTTATAAATTAATTTTAATTTGTACAGTGAAATGATGATCATCAGTATCATGGAGTAATTTCTATTGTTTGTAAAATATATATTCTGTATATTTTGGTAGCATATTTTCATTTAAGCATGTCTGATTAAACAATTTTGACATGTGTTATTTTTAATAAGATCCTTTCATAATCATATATAAGCTTTGTTGTTTCATGATTAAAGTGAGCAAGGAAGTCATCATGGTTGTATTTATTTTTCTGAGTACTTTTGATATATTCACAGTATCATCATCAGGGTTATAATATCTAAGACAAATAGTTGTGTGTGTCTGAAGTAAATTTTTGCCTTTCTGGTTAAACCTTTAACAATTCCAGTCATGTGCAAAGTCACAAATCGTGTTTTTTTTTGTTTTGTTTTTTTTTTTTAAATTGTTCCATATTGTAAATCATGAAATAACAAAGCTTATATGCAATTATGAAATGATCTTATTAAAAATAAACGTCAAAATTGCTTAATCAGATATGCTTAAATATATATATAATATGCTCTACTGTGTATCGAGCACTGTTTTTAAAAATAAATTGCTAAAGAACTCTGGATTATAAATCTGACTTTTTTTATTTTGAGATGCCTTGGTCTATCCCCAATCCTTCTCTTCAACACTCCTCTTTGCTCTTGCTCCAACTCTCTGTAACCCCTTGCGTGCTAGTGGCTTTCTGCCTTGTTTGGGGTGAAACGCTTAATATATATATATATATATATATATATATATATATATGTCATATATCTCCCTATTTTATTTGTGTTCTGGTTTCATTTCTATTATGATAGATACTAACATTTATATCATAAAAGAAAAACATAACTCATTTTTAGTGATAGGTTGCATGATTGTATTAGAAAACAGCCAACTTTAAAAGGTTTGTGTTTTTCAGATTTTATGATTTGATTGGCACAAATGTCAATATTATTACATCACTTGTTGAAATACTGAATCAGTTGTTTTGTGTTTCATTTGATCCATTTCTTTTGTGTGTATGTAGAAAAGTGGGCATATGTCACAGGTTCAGTTCATTTCCAGCAATGTGAGCCACGCATTCTTCATTCCTCATCCAGTTCACACATCTCCCCAGTCTTTTGAACAAGAGTAGATTTATCCCTTGTTTCCTGTTTTGGATTGGATTTTCACTTTATTCTGAAGTGTTTTGTATTCTCTTTCACTCTTAATTTCTGTAACTTAATAGCATTATCACCTTGCTTGGGATGAATTGATTTAAAAAAAAAAAAAAAACATATTAAAAAAAAAACAAAAAAAAAACATATTGAGACATGGAAATGCCCTCCCATTCCTTCTCTACCAAGCCAGGAAATGATTCTTTTTAAAATTAGAAAATCATGGTTCTACTAGGGATTGGCCAACTTTGGTTCATAGGTCAAATTGACCCACTATATTTAATCTGATTTGCATGCTTGAGAAGAAACTTTAATAGAAAATGCATTCTATCAAAATGACTCAAAGAATAATTTTGTCTATGGAAGAGTTTTTGTTGTATTTTTTTTTTTTGTTGTTTATTCAATGGATGCACAACATAAACCCTTCAGGTTGGTTATACTTGAATATTGGTGAAGCTATCCTATTTGTGATCATCTCAGATGTTCTTGAAAGAGATCTGAGCTGGATATTTTCGGTCTACAGTGAAAAAAAAAAAAAATGAAAAAAGACTCTGAAAACAAAATGTGGGATTGAACCCCAAAGTATGGGAAGGAAAATCATTGTGCTTGGATGTGAACAGAAAACAATCATTTGGATCTATGCTGTTAAACATTATACCTACTCTCTATGTTGTTGTTGTTGTTATTATTATTCTCTGTACCATGTCCCTTAAGAATTTCCTGCCCCTTGTAACTCTTAGTAAATTTTGTCTTTATTCTATCACTCCTAATCCCTGTTCTGCCAACTGTGTACACAATCTCATTAGGTAAGTTATGTGTTGTTTTCATCTGCCCCACCTGCCTTCAATATGTCCTGTGAGTGTCAAATTTTCTAAGCCCTGTTTCTACATTATGAGCCCTAGAAATTTCAACTGACTCTGTGTATTCAAAGTTAACAATTTTTTCGTCTGCATTAAAATATTATTTTCATAAATTCCCAAATTGCAACAATATTGAGTAAGTTGGTTTTTTTTTTTTTGTTACTCATTTCACCCCAAGAAAGGCAATAAAGCCACTAAGATGCAAGGGGTTACTCAGTGTTAGAGAATGAGAAAAACTACTATTAAAGAGCAAGGA